CCAAAAATATCTAATTGTAAGATATTTAAAAAACAATGAGGAGCATTTGGATTAATTGATTTGATATGATGGATAATTGATATTTAATAATTAATAATAATTATTATTTATAATTTAAAGTATTAATTTATTTTATTAAAATCAGTAACTAATATTTTGTTTGATCAAATTTGATTATTTTATTTTATCCATTTATAATTATCAAGAAATTTATTTATTATAATAATTAAGTTTTATATTTTTATTTATATTTATATTTCTATTTATGATTAAATAAAAAAATTCAAACTCATTTTTATTTCTTTTAAAATAAAAATAAAAATAAAATATTAATATTTTAATAAAATAATAAAGTCAAATTATTTCTATTTAAAAAGTGATTCTTTTGAAAGGAAGTAATTATTTTCTAAACTCTAAAACACACCCACGGATCAAAAGAGGAACATCTCCTGCGCCTAGGAAGTATGGCCGTCGCGCGTGCTACGTCCTGCGCGTTGCGTACCCAACCTTTTCCCATTTCAAACTTTTTACGCCGAGTTCCACCGAGCGATTTGATGGTTCGCGCGTTTTATTAGGATTGGTGAATTGTTTATGAAATTTGAGATTAAATCTTTAATTATTAACATCTAATAATATTAATTTATTAATCATTATTTTTATCAAAAAAAAAAAAACTTTTTACGCCACAACCATGAGGGCCATAAGCAGAAGTCAAAAATTCTGAAACAAAATCACATGGCACATTAATGGGTAACATGCAATAAAATGATCAGAATTCAGACATAATGTTTGTCCTTGATTAGCTGAAATAAAAATTTGTATCATTTTCTATATATATATATATAAAAGTATCATTTACTATAAAAAATAAAAAAATTGGATCATTAGATAAACCTTGGTTCCAAACGATTCCCTTTTGATAAATTAGAGTGAAGAACTAGCGATCCCCACCCGTAAAAGCGATCGGTACAATATAGTTTAGTCTCTAATGATAATAATTCAAAAAATAAAAAAATAATAATAAAGAAGCATAAAGAGCAATCATTAATTTTGTGGATTCTAGATACTCTCTCTAAAATTCACTTTTGAACACTTTTTTGTGGAAGAGGGCGAAAAAAAAAAAAAAGGGTTGCATGGATTTAATATGATTGACAATAATTTTAAGTTAAATGAAAAAGAAGAGATGAGCATTTGTACTACTAAAAAAAATGTAAAAAATGTATTTATTGCTCATTATTACATTAACGCTGTACACGTGATTGGAATATATATATTTTTTGGGGATGTTGCAAGGGGATATGAGATGATACAACGAAGGTGAGTTCCCCATATGGTTAAAGTTTGCACAAAAAATAAATGGGGATACAAGTAGGGATGCACAAAAAATAAACGGGGGATACAAGTAGGGATGACAACAGGTTTTATAGGAATGCATTCTCGTGTTTATCAATGATGAATATAGGGATTTTTACAAGAATTTTAATTGACGGTAGAAAATGACATCCATCTCTATACCTATGAGAAAAAATAGATAAATTAGAGAATGATGAGCTCAGCTTCGGTTGCTTCTTCAAGTTTATCACCTTTTTTAATTGCAAAAAGTATACAGATTTTGAGACGTTTTTATCATGGTGAAAATTAGAGAATAAAATGAATTTTTGAATTTAAACTATCAATACAGATTTTTTTTTCTTTCTTCCCTACAGGCTTGATTTTAATCGAGTTTACCTTTCTTTTTCTTCCTATCCCCTTTCTTCTTTGTCTTCGTACTCAAAGCTAATCAAGCTTTGATTTCTAAATCATCTATTATCTTGGTTGACTGCAGCTCCGGTAGAGAATGTGATGTGATCCGATTTGATCCATTTGGTATTAGTAAGACTATGAATTTCATATGAGCAATGGAATCACTTGAAAAATTACAAAAGAAAATGAGTTAACTCAGTAGATAAAGCACCTAAAAAATATAGATGGTAAAAGAAAAAAAGAAATTAAAAATACAACAATAGAGGGTAAAGAATGATGATTATATTGTTTACTTTGCAGACCATTTGAATGTCACTTAAAGCTACTATGTTTAAAGGGTGGGTAGCATGGTCAACAATTGATGATATTTGATTGGATTTCAAAGGAGTAGAGAACGTCTCAAGACTGGACAGTTTATGTGGACGCTTCCTCTCTCTACTTATTCCAATAATATCTCTAAAAATAAAAAAAATCATGCTATAGATTGGATGCAAGAACCAACACAATGCTTGAAATCTATGTTTGCAGGGAAGGATGTACATAAAAGGTAAAAGAAATGAATCTGAGCTTCTAATGTCATGGTAATTTTGTATATGCACTAATACTAAGTTGTAAGTGTATGTAAGTTGGGTATCACTTGTACCATTAACAAAATTATTTTGGCTGTTATAGAAAATAGAGAGAGAAAAAAAAAAAGGAGAATTGAACTAGCATCACAAAATGAATGAGCCAATACTTGGACTTCACTATCAAATGAAAACTCTTCTAAAATATGAAACATATAGCAAGAATTCCTTAAGACCTACATCAACAAAAACCAATCAACTCAATTATATTAATAAGAAAAAATAAATAAAGAGCTTTCTAAAAGATAAGTCTAATGGGAGTTGGTAAGAATTTAATTCTTTTACCTATGCCAATCTATGGAAAACTTCTTTAAGGGAATCTAGGAGGAAGAAATTCTCCAATTTCTTCCTCTTCAAAGGAGATTGATGAAGAGGTCTAAGGGAATCTAAGGGAAAAAAAAAGATGTGGAGAGTTAACAAGCCAATTATAAAAAATATATATAAATTGAGTTTATTTTCATAACCATATGTAGAAGTTACCTTGTTTTTTCATATTCACACCGGAATAAAAGTTAGATTTTTTAATTGGAAGGAACTTGGTAGAGGATGAAATTGAACTCCCACTTGAATTTAAATTGAGCACTACAGATGGTAAAAGAATAAAAGAAATTAAGAATAGGTTAAATACTCTTTTTGGTCCCTGTACCGAAAAAATCCCTTTTTTGGTCCTTACTATTCACAAATCTAGCCCCTTTTTGGTCATTCCGTTAATTTTTTGCTTACGTGGCACGTTAACTTAACTAGAACAACTGATGTGGATATGCCAACGTGTAAAAAATGCTTACGTGAACTTAATGATATCCTTCACGTCACTCGGGAAAAGAAAAAAAAAAAAAAGATTAAATGCTAAATTTAATCCCTCAACTTGATAGGTTTGCATTTTTTTGGTCCTCAAATTATTTTTTTCACTTTTTTATCTTTTAACTCTAAAAATTACACAATTTTGGTTCCTCCATCAATTAAGCATGATGTTACAGTTAAATAATTCCACTTGATATTTTCTTTTAATTTTTTTGATGACATGGCAATTAATATATTATAATTATGTTATATAGATAAATAAAAATATCATGTAAATAAATATTTATATTTTAATTAAAAAAATAAAATTACATTATTACCCTCACCTCTCAATCTTTCTTCTTCCCCTTCTTTCTTTCTCTTTCTTTCTTTCAAACCCAAACGCAGACTTGGAAGGCTACTGCCGGACCTGAAGATGACGGTTTTCTTCCTTGACTTGCGCTGCAGGATCAGATTCCTTCAAAGGTTTCCCTCCTCCAGCTCCAGGTAAAACTTAGAGTATGCTAAATGGGAGATTAGTTTCACTCGACTATGAAAGTAAGTTGCTTGGATTGCCCAGTTAGTGACGACTCATCAACAGTAGATGATTCGCTGGCGACTCGGCCACGACCAGACCCAAATTGAGGCTACATGACGGGAGAAACAAAGGAAGAAAAACCTGGAAGAACTGGGTCAGACGACCTACTACGGCCGCAACCAGGTCCAACTTGGGTTGGCTATGGCGAGCATTGCCCCGACTCATCCGATTCGGATTGGGCAAAATCAAATTGGGAAGGAGCTAGGGGAAAGCTGTCACCTTAGCCGCGTCCACAGCTGGAAGTGGAGAATGGGGATGATGATTGGAGTAGAAGAGGGCTTTGGGTCAGCAATCCATTGTAGTGATGGTTGGAAATTTTCATAGGATCTTCCTATGAAACCCAGATACTCAAATTGAAACTAAAACTTGAAGCTAGGGTTTTGGATTTTGCAAAGAGAAAGGAGCGAACTTCTACGCTGGGGGGTTTTTCGGATCTCTTTCAGAGCACAACAGCACCGCTTAACATAAACTAAATAAATAAAAGTGATAATTAAAAAAAATCCTCAAAAACAATATGCTCATGCCGTGTTCTTCAAATCCCACCTGAAAGGCTGAATTTATCCCTTCGAAATCGTCTCTAGTTCTGAAGGGAGAGTTTTAAAGAGAGAAAGGGATCAACTTTTAGCTTCTCTCTTGAACTGTCTCTCTGTACTTCTCCTTGGACCAGTTTAGGGTTCTCAGTTTCAGTTCCAAGATGGTCAGTTCTCGTTTTCATTTTCCTTTTCTGAATCACTAAGGTTCACAAGGTTAGGTTTCGACGAACCCAGCAGTTGGGTTCGACAAAACCCAATAGATTTGGATTTCGTCGAACCTAGCTACCTAGTTCATCAGAACCCAGCCAATCTGGGTTCAAAAGAAAGAAAGAGAAAGAAAGAGAAAGAAAGAAGGGGAAGAAGAGGGATTGGGAGGGGAGGGTAATAATATAATTTTATTTTTTAATTAAAATATAAATATTTATTTACGCGACATTTTTATTTATCTATATAACATAATTATAATATATTAATTGCCATGTCATCAAAAAAATTAAAAGAAAATACCAAATAGAATTATTTAACTGTTACATCATGCTTAACTGACGGAGGAACCAAAATTGTGTAATTTTTAGAGTTAAAAGTGAAAAAAAGTGAAAAAAATAATTTGAGGACCAAAAAAATGCAAACTATCAAGTTGAGGGATCAAATTTAGCATTTAATCTTTTTTTTCTTTTCCCGGGTGACGTGGAGGGTATCATTAAGTCTACGTAAGCATTTTTTACACGTTGGCATATCCACATCAGCTGTTCCAGTTAAGTTAACGTGCCACGTGAGCAAAAATTAACGGAAGGACAAAAAATGGGCCGGATTTGCGAACAGTAAGAACCAAAAAGGGGATTTTTTCGGTACAAGAACCAAAAAGAGGCTTTTTCCTATAGGAGAGGGACCAAAAAGGGTATTTAACCTTAAGAATACAGCAATAGAGGGTAAAGAAGGATGATTATATTGTTTACTTTGCAAACTGATGAGTTGAAATTGTATACATATTAATGTGAAATTGTTGTCTTGATATTATTGATATTTGGATGAGTTTTATGAGATTTTACTGAGTTTTATGAGACTTTACATGATTTTCATTCTTTGTGCAAAAAAAGATTTGAATGCATAAAATAAGAGGTTTTAGGATTTATTGAATATTTTCTAAAAGTTGAGGGGCTGAATTGCAAGAAGAAGGGCGGCCATTTGGAACCTAAGTGAATGAATCTTGAGTTTTGGGATCTAAGTGCTCATAGTACAAGATATGGAGGACCAGATCGCTATTTTACCATTGAAAAAATTACAAAAGGAGGCCAAAACCCGACACGGGTGTAGTGTCGACACGTAACCGGGGTGTCGACACCATGTGTTAAACGTCCAGAATCAGATTCTGTTTCCTATCTTGTGTGAACACGTAATCCAAAATGTCAGTACTACGCGATCAGCATCCAAAATTCAGTTTCCTATTTCTGTTCCAAGTACCACTTCTATTTCAATTAGGGTTTCTAAAATCTTATAAATACCCATCTAAATTCAGAATTATGGGAGTTTTGAGAGGCTAGTGGCAGCCCTCTTTTGGGTATTCTTGAAGATCAGGAGAAAGGATTCAACAATAGAAGATCAAAGAGTTCGATTTCCTCAAATTGGGTTTTGTTTTTCCTTGGATTTTTATCTATTATTTAATATTTGAATGTTCATAACTATGATTTCAGATTTTATTACTTTTATTATAAACTGATTTATTCTACTAGGGTTACGATGTAACTTAATTAATTCAATATAGATTTTGTGATTTTATGTTTTCAATTAAAGTTATTTACATAAAGAGTTTATATTATTGTACTTAATGCATTGGAAGCCTGATCACCTTTCGATTAATTTAGTTATTTATGTATGAACTTGAGAAAAAATTGCATAGATTAGACTAATAATAATATAAATCGTGTGCTAAACTATAAAACCGAGAGGTAATTAGCTCACATGTGGTAGTGGAGGAAGAGAAAAGAGTTAGGAGCTCCCTTCTTAAGTTAGAGGTTTCCATAGAATTTAATGCTCATTAATTTGTTTAAAATTATATAGAAATATGATTAATTTAATAAACCAATGAAGGATTAACTTGACTTGAGAAAATTAGTTAATTAATTTAGGGAAATCCACCATCACATGCAATAACATTTAACAATTTGATAATCCAAAATTTATATTAATTGATTATGGTGAAGTCAATGCCTTAGTACCTCATATCTTGATTAGCGTGATTTTAATTGTTAATTTCTTTTTATTATTTTTAATTAAAGTTTCTTCCTTTTTTATTGTTCAAATAAATTTAAATTAATTATTTTGGTACTTAGTTAGACATAATCCTCATGGGTTCGACACTCTCTCATCATTATATTACTTGAGGCGACTAGTACACTTGTTAGGGTGATTTTAGTGCATCACAAACCATTCGAACTATTACTTAAAGCTGCTCTGTTTAAAGGATGGGTAGAATGGTTAGCAATCGATGATATTTGATTGGATTCCAAAGGAGTACAAGACATCTCAAGACTGGACAATTTATGCGGACGTTTCTGATCCATAATATATCTTCTTCTTAGTCTTGCTTCCCCTTTTTGTTGTTCATCCTTAAGAAAATCAAACACAACAACCATTAAAAAATGCAAACGAAAATGAAGAAAAGGATCCAAACAAAAAGACAATAAAGGAAATTAACATAAAAAGTTAAAAAGACACACATGTCTGCTGCAAATGAAAGAAGGAAATTCGTATGAAAAGCAATCAAAAGATGGACCA